CACGCTTATCTGAAAATACTCTCACATTTTACTCACTTCAGGTAACTTCTGAGAAGTTGTAAAGTTTACGTTCTGAGTTCTCTTTCTGGTAAAAGGCTTTTTTTCCCCGAGAAAGTCTATGTAAGTATTTTCCAAATCTAATTGAGTGCATCTACTTGATGAGCAAATATCTGTTCAAGGTAAAAGGAAGTAGAGCAAATTCTATGTTATAAAGCATAACAACGATTAGAATACACAAAATGTATCCGGGGGGCCATGCGTCTGATGGCTGTGACACTGTGATCATCTGGAAGAGCCAGTTCAGATCTCGTGAAGCAGGGCCAACGTTTATCAGAGGAGAACCATGGTACTTGAAATCATCAGTAACAACTGACATGAAGGCAAAAGGGTGCAGAGAACTTCTAAGTGAAAAATCACACTAACAGGTAGCGAAGCTCCAGGCTTCCCAAACTCCTTGGCTGAAGAAGAACCAGAATGGTCAGAGGAGCCCGTGCTTGACAGGGAAATGGGCAGCATGCTGCAGACAGGCGAGATAGCCACCCTCCAAGCTCTGGCTCTGCAGCCCTGATTCTACCCTGGTGCCACTCGCTATTTCATTTCCCAGTAAATGTACCCACGCCCCACACTCCCCTCTCCCTGCAGATGCCTCTGTTCTGCAGATCTAGCTACCAAACCAACTTTGATAGATAAATGTGCTGCTCTTCTTCCTCTTACCTCATGCTTTCATACAGTTTCCTGAGCTCCCAGCTCAGCGAACACAGGGAGACCCTCAAATACGCACACGCTGCGAACTGCGCACAAAAATACCCTCTGCATGTTTGCAGGAGCAGCTTCGAGCCGTGCACCGACCTGGCGAGCAGGAAGGGACGTCGTCGCGACCTCGAAGAGGTGCTGCCGGGCGGCAGAGCCCTTCCGCGGGAGGCTGCGCGCCAGCTGCAAGTCTGCGGAGTTCGGGGAGAGGCTGCCCGGCTCCCTCGCCGCGCAGCCCTGCGAGGAGACGGGGGAGCAGCCCCAAACGCGCCCCCCTCCCGGCTCCCCGCGACGCGTCACTCA